TAAGAAAGCACGGATATACCACTAACAAATATTGCCAGTAAATTTATTAATTAGGTGACTGGTTAAATCAACGTTTTTGTGTATACATAATATTTTGACATACACTGTGTAAGCACCTGGAATTAGCTAATTATCTACATTACCATGGTCTGGTCATGTTTCAATCACGGGACAAGTGCATCCATTCACCAACCCATATGTTTTCAATTGCTTGCCTCTGGCATAGGGCTGTCAGAATGCAAAAGGTGAAAAACAATTACTCGGCTTGGCAGCAAGTAGACTAAATATGTGCTTAAACCGTTTGAAATGGCTAGCTCCTTATCTTGATATAAGCAGAAAATCTAACCGACATGCATTTAGATACGCCCGCATGCAGATTAGAGGCTTCATTTTGCAATGATAGTGGGTTCCTATACATGAGTTGGATTGATGAATGGCCAAAAGACAACTAGTCTGGCACGTGACAAATGACAATGAAGATATAAGCAGAACACTATAGAATGGGATGTTTACTTGGTATTTCAAGTATGTAATCTGATTAACCACAGGCATGAAGAAGCCACAAGAAGCTTTCACATAGGTTAACTTTTTGAATGATGCCGCTATTTGGATTTATGTTGAAAAGAAGCAAACAGGGTCTTTACACACACCGGAACAACAAATTTTTCCTGCCTTGGCACTACCAGATTCCTTTATGCGCACATGTATCAGCCTCTGTGCTTAAGAAACAAACGAAATCTAAATGTCATGATGTTTCACAGGTTGGCACAAAGTCGCAGGTTTTCAGATTCGCAAATTCGCAGATTCGCAGATTTGCAGATGACGGATACTTCAGCGGATTTGCGGCGGATTCGCAGATTCGCAGATTCGTGGATTCGCGGATTCGCAGATTCACAGATTCGCAGATTCGCAGATTCGCGGATTCGCAGATTCGCAGATTTGACAGACCATAGGTTGTGGCGCATATACAATCTGCGAATCTGCGAATCCGCGAATCTGCGAATCTGCGAATCTGCGAATCTGCGAATCTGTGAATCTGCGAATCTGTGAATCTGCGAATCCGCGAATCCACGAATCTGCGAATCTGCGAATCCGCAAATCCGCTGAAGTATCCGTCACAGCGAGGCCCTTTGAGCATCAGATACTTACACGTCGCGTCGCGAATCCCTCAAATTGAGAAGCCCTGAAAGACCCTGAACGTTATTGCAGCTGCATCCATATGCCCCGATGAAGTTGGGCAAGTCGAGAGTACCTGACAGCGAAGCGTGGGTTTTGGGGGGGGGGGGGTACCAAATATATATATGTGTGAATAGTAGGCATCGTTGCAGCGTGGAAACTGGTATTCATTGAAGCATGTGTACCGAACCCCGGAGCCGATCAACAGCATTTCACAGATCTTCACGAGACACAGCAGGCATTACCATGTTTCCCCAATCGCTTCGTTGATTCGCTTGAGCGTTACAGGATACGCAAGTCAAGAGTGCTGCGCACATGGCAAGCTCAAGCACTCGCAGACCAGCATGCATGGCGAGAAGTTCATGGACAACGATGCGGATTCACTCGACTTGTCGAGTGCGAAAGTTGAAAACATTCTCAATCAGCAAGCCAAGATAGTCATGATAACCTCACCAACGAATACTTGCATGTTACGAAGCGATCAGTTGTTTTCGGACGACGAGCTTATTTGCGTTGCTGGGTTTGGGTTGGCAAGACATTGCGATAAGCTTCAGATTCCTCATGCTGTAGCTGCCTGCATCTTGTGGCCAGGTCCGCCAGTCAAAACCGCAGCATCAGCTGGAAGACCAGCGACAAAACTTCACACTGGCACTTGGAATGTTTGTACCCTCACCTCGAAGCAGTGCCGGTCTTCTTTCCAACATATCCAAACCCCACTGTGTCCTCGAGAAGCACATATACATATAAGCATATTATATACATATACATATATATGTATGCATATACACATTCATCTATGCGTGTATATATATATATATATACACGCACACCTTACTTTTTGTTTGTACATATGTAAACATATTTACTAACAACTATACCGAATATTGTAGGACCTTAAGCCGGCAGGTGTCGGCGAAGTGGTGCGCGATCGGAATGGCAGCCTAAGCGGGGCACTGAGAGCCGGATCCAAACGACAGCAAAAGTATGCTTATCTGCATTATACAAATAGTAAAGAACCGAGTGAAGTCGATGTAATCGCCAATTCAAAGACGGCATGCTTGGATGACTGCGAACCGCCCACATGAGACAGTCTCTCACGAACACTCACTGAAGTTTGCCAACACAACGAACGAGGTCTGTGCCCATGGCGTCCTCCGTGACTTGTCCGCACGAGAAGAGCAAGACTTGCCAAGCGTGAGGGTCCCTGGGAGCCGGAGCCTTTTGCCCAGACTCTTCTTTCACAGCTGCGGTCTTGTAGTCTCGCAGTGAAGATTTGGTGAAGATCACTCCATTTTTTCTTCATGGGGAAGGCATATTCCCAGCAAGTCCTGTCAGCGAAACGGCTGTTTCGGGAAGGGCTGTCTGCGAACTGCTCCCTCGTCATGTTCAGCATTCAGGAACCGAGCCCTTGTTTGAAGGCTGCAACCATCCCTACAGCCCCGAAAAACCGATCCGACGTGCATGCGACCGAAGGGTGGTGGGATTGGACTCGCCTCAGCAGCCTCGCAGCCGGGTGAGTTCCTCAGCCTGCGTGCGAGGGAGAGAATGGAGTTACGGTAGTACAATATTTTCCCCGCATCCCAAGTTTCGCTTGTTGAGAATATAACTTTCTCTTCCTTCACATGTAAGTTGCCATTCACAACATGCGTCAGCGAAGGCAACCGACTTTGCTTTGCCTTCTCATGCATCCCTGCCAACCCAAGACGGCACAGACACCCGGTTCCACGGGAAGACGGCTTCTGGCCGCAGCAAGGGGAGAGAAATCAGAAGCACAGTGTTAAAGGGGTTTAGGTCGTAGGTTTGCTTGTCACACGGGCTTAGGCTAAGGAAATGTGGAAAGCGTTTAGTGCAGAGAACGTGCGCACCGGTGGCTAGCTTCCTGGTGGCCTTACGTATGGCTACCCCTTTTTACTGCGAGAACTCTTTGCACACTCCGAGACCCTGGAGCCTTGAGCGGAGATTTTCACAATGCCCAAAAAGGGTTTGTTGACGTTTCCCAGGTCGAGAGCCTCACCGCTGCTTTCTTTGGGAAGCCAAGGCCCGGGAAATTCAGGGACCAAGGGCTTCGGTACTCTGGGCTGAGAGCTGCATACGCCTTTCACGGCCTTTCAAGTTGAAAGTTTGGCCGGTTTAGGGCTTTAGGGGGGTTAGAGGCTGGCGATTTAGGGCACGGCACCTGGGCATGGGCCGGCGAAGGGTGAGTTTTCTTCTGAGCGTTCACAGCAGCAACAACGGCAACATTCAACGCGTAGCGTCTCTGCAGTAGGAATTATCGTGCTGCTGGGGCAGTAGTGCGGTCATAGTATTGGACTTGGTCCTTGGTAGCGGGAACTTCTCTCCCGACAGTTCTCGGCCTGATGCTTGCACGTCTATTGTTGCTGATTGCGCGTTGAAGACAGCAAGCCGCCTACCAGGTTCTCGACGACAACCTGGGTGCGCCCGTGCGGGAAGGGGGGATACTGTAAGTGCTGCTGCCCGCTCAACACTGGCGAATCGGAGAGACGCACGCGTGGGGATATCTAAGATAGGAGCTGAGCAGCCCATTTGTTAACATCACAGGTGTGTTTACTTCTTGATGACACAGCGTGCAAATCCTTGTATTGGAGTGTGGCCATCTTCCTTTCAGGAGTCCCCGGGCAAGAGCACATCGGCATTGGCAGGACAAGTCCTCATCAGCCGCAGCCTAAGACGCAGGGCACTTCACACTTGGGATGGTTTCGTAGATTCCTCTATGTGCTCAGGCTGGGTTCATGTTCGGACTTCCGGTGAATGTAGGTAAGATAGGCTCCTTTGAGTTCCGTTGCAAGGAGACTTGCAACATCTTGCATGATTTACTGACCACCTAAAATCAAACAGTTTTGTTGGAGACTGCCTTGTTCCTTCGACGCTTTCAGTTTGTCAAAGGCGCCTTCGGAGTCAACAGCTTACAGACCAAAGAGTCAAGGGGTGTCCTTTTCTTCAAGACCGTGGCAGTATAACCCGGCATGCCGAAGGTTCTGCTTCGCTGCATCCCAGGTGATGGTGCGGACTTCATTGACAACAGCTTTTCACTCTGGCGACGACTAACGCGAGGTTCGAGCAGCACTTTTCAAATTTCATGCAAGGCCTTGAACCAGATGCATGCCAGCCCTCGGCCAGTGTGATGAGCCATCGCAGAGCAAGCCATTTTGCCTGCCCGCCCACGGTCCCACGCTGCTTGCAGGCCCGAACTGGCGGTCTGCTTCGTTGCTGGTCTCTTGACCGTATTTTATAGCATCGGAACAAATGGGATGAGGCGCCGAGCTCAGATGTCGACGAAGGTTCCATCCTCTACTCTCTGATGATTTTCTGAGTTCTCGCTGGGAGCATACCTATCGTGTCAGTCGGAGTCCAGTGCAGCTGCTTGGCAGGTTGCCTCAAATTCGTGAAGAGCTTCGTCATGAGCTGAAGCACACGGTTGTTCTGTTAGATTTAGGGACCACTGCTTTCACCATTTCAGCAGGAGGTGCCAGACCAAAAGGGGCGCACAGAGCCTATGTGCGTGTTTCAGTCTGAGACAGATCTCGACATCGAGTCATACAAGCAGCAAACAGATCGAGTAGTTTTCAGACCACATCTCCTTCGCTGGAGCATAATGTACTTCTGCTGAGCCCTGATGGGCCAATTAGCACACGAAGATCTCTTGCAGCTTAGCTGAAGCAAATGCTCAGCGAGGCAGCTGTCCAGTTCCGGCTAGACGGTAGCCCCCAATCGGGACAGAGCAAGATCTTTGGAGGGAAAGTGACGTTTATGCGAGTGTGGATTCTCCGCCAATGCGAAGGCCTGAGCCAACTTTGCCACGCCAGGTTCGCATCGACGCGCCCAGCGGCTGGGATTTCCGGCCCCTCTGCAACCTGTACTTGGACCGGGCATCCTTGTGTGTTGCTTTTGCTCTTCCTGCCGCTCCGATTGAAGCACGTTGGGCGTAATTAGTGGCTGTTGCTGTGATTTTGTTGTTGAAGTGGATTTTGGCAGTTGCATCGTGGTCCGTCTTGCTCCTCCTGCTCCTCCTGCTGCTGCTGCTGCTGCTGCTTGTCGTTCTTGCGCTTTGCTGTTGCCGTCGTCCTCGTTAGCAGTCGCCAATCCTTTGGTGTGTTTGTCAGACATCGCATGGAGTTGTTTCCTGTGAGTGTTGCGATTGGGGAGGTGCCGGCTGATGCATGTAAGATGGACTCGGTAACCACGTGCAAGGAGTGGCACAAACACCATCATGAAGATGTTGCATCGTTATCAACACCACGAGAGTCAGCAAAGGTCCCCCGAGGAGATCGAACATACCCTGCCATGAACCCGACCCCGTATGGCGGGCAGGATGTGACTGGTGGATGTGAGAATCGCTGCTCCTTCCAGCTGCCTTATTCAGAGGCCCCGCCACGTCCATACATGCCCCCCCCCACACATATGCGCGCGTGGGCGTCGGTCTATTTGACTGTGTGTTTGTAATTTTGAATAGAAAGATAGTTGAAGTTTGTAGTCAAAACAACATGAAGACTATGTTGCGGATTACGCAAAAGAGTAGTTCGGGTTCGCGGGGTTGTATGAGCAACGTGGTTGTGGGAGTCGAAGTGCTTGGCGTTTCGGAGACTACCGTTGGCGCTTAGAAGACACATGGAGGTATGTGTCTTACGAAGAGTCTTATACGTCATATGCATATATAAATATGTACATAGTGTACATGGCACACACACATATATATGTACACACATACATACACACATATATATATACAGATGTTTATATATGAACATTGCATATATAGGGGCTGGAATCCACGACCTGTGAGTCGGACTTGAAGGCAGCTTAACAAGCAGATCCCTTCTTGTCGGGACCATGACCGCACAGACAAGACTCAAAGTTTTCATTGTAGCATCTTGCTTTGATGGGCGTGATCGCAGGCTATACTCGACAGTTGTACTTTGCTGTTCTCGAGTTTTTGTGTATGCGATCGTGGTATCTTGCCTTGAGACTATCCTGCCAATGAAGACAGTGAGGATGTAGGTAACCCTAAGCAGTGTGCTCGGCGTGAGTGAGTTCCGTGGGGCTGTACAGATTGTTTGATATCGGTCTTTCATGCAGAACCTGCTGGTTGGGTAAAAGCAAAGAAGCTGGTGGCACAACTTTTGTATTGGTTAGCCTAACATCGTGTGTCGTTCGGCCGATTTAGGAAGCAACGGAGAGGACAGTTTCCTGCAGTTTTTCTTCGGCTGCGAGCGGCCGCTTGATGCATGATTCAGCAGTGCACTGCCCGATTGGGGGCATAGGTGGTCTACAAAGCCGTGAGAGGGTTTAGGGTCGCGCAGATGCCTTGCCTGCAGGCCTTGCTGGTAGCTTCCATATGTATGTTTCGGTCACTAGCACGTGGACAGGGTGCATAATGAAGTTGCACATGGTATTCCTCGGTGTGCTCATATACTAAGATTCATACTTCTTTATGCTGTGCTGTGATATTATAGCGTGGTTTGTAATCCCGTATTATGGTATATCAGGTTATTTTACTGTAATACATGTGCGATATTATCATATTCTACTTGTACATGTGGGATGCAGAGAGCCTTGCAGGAGCGCGGGCATCACATCTGTCCCGAGGCACAAGGGCATGCCCAAAGGGTGACACAGAGTCGCACTGAAATTTGCGAGAGTGGGATCCAGGGCCATCGTTGTGTAATGTCCGTGTCGCTTTGGCTGCATGCTTCTCCTTATACTGCACGACTGCAGCTTCTGGCGATGTTGAAGGCCAATGTACTCCTTCTGCTGCTCGACCAGTCCGCAGCCCCTTGGCTGATGAGAAGTGGGGAGTTCACGATGTCTTCCGCTAGGAGCTTCGAAGATGTTGCATGCACAAGTTTCTTACTATGGTTATATCCTGGAATTTTTTCCGTGGTGAAGACCATTGTGAGGCAGGGACATCATACAGTATTTAGCTGGAGGTCATCGAGGAAGGCGTGTTCGTTCTGCTTCTTGGCGTCCCGATCTCAGCGATGTTCGCTTCAAACGACTCTGCCATTACATCTGCTCTGTTGCCTGTCACATGCCGCATGCTGGCATGGCTAAACTATGTTTGCAACGTTCTGGCGGAAATTCAAGCCGGCAACCGTGTGAACAGCTCAGCGATGACTGACGGTGATCCATTAGAACGCCAAGCTAGGGCTTCTGCGAATCTCTTATCTCCACATACCGATCCTTCTCTATGTGTAGGTGATCAATCCAGCCGCGGCGCCTGCGCAAAATCTCTGGAAGGCAAGGAGGATTGGCCCATGGTGACACTTGTCTTGCTCACTGATACATTGTACATCCTCAAGGCTTATCCCCGAAACCGTTGGACCGTTAAACCCTCCAGCCCAAAACCCTAACTGGCCCTAACCCCCTAGACCCTCAAGACCCAAGACTCTAAGCCCTCACCGCGCTGTCAGATCTCCTTGATCAACAGCGCAGCTGCAACTGGCGACCCCGGCTCTGACAAGGCTGGGTTTGGGGAGGCTGAAATGAGTGTTCTGTGAGAGTCATTACAAGAACGTTAATGATACATAATAAGGGTCTCTATGAAGGGTAGGGTTACTACAAAGGCTTGCGATAAAGGTTTCCGTTGAGTTTCTATTGGGGTTCGTGATGGTGTCTGCAAATTTGCAGTGTTGGTGTTCGCCTTGTTTGTTGTGTTTCTGCTCCTAGTATTGTGTCATAGTTGCCAGGTTCATGATGGTACAGTAGAATGCACTAGAATGCAATGCAATGATACCTTTGAAGTGCAAGCGTAATGCACAGGTTGTTGACGGCATTGTCGTGAAGTGCACGAAGTGTACGTAGTGACATGAAGTTGAGCGGAATGCTGCAGCTAGGCACGGCTCACAGGACAGGAGCCATTGCTTAGCTACGAGATTCTCTTCACAGTTGGGGACAGCTGGGGCCATGGCATGCTGGCACCTCGGTGGCAAAGAAGCCCTCCGACTACAAGTGTGGCGTGGCAGCTGTGGCGTGACGCGACTCTGCCCGGACATGGCCGGCCTGTCCCGAGCAGAATAGGATTGGGTAAGGTAGGACTCGTGCCGATTTGATCAAAGGAGGTGTGTCAAAAGTCTGTTGCCGCATTCGAGCTAGGTGAAGGTGACTTTGTGACTTGTGACTTAGTGACGGCCTGCGAAAGCTTGTGCGTGTGTTGTCTGCTAGTAGGTTAGTAGGCACGCGGTTGTTTTGACTGAGCAAGGTGTGACTGTCACATCCAGTATCTCGAGCCGTACCGATTTTCCACTCCAGTAGTTTGCAGCCTGAGGGGCACAACATGGCTGCTCAGAGTGGTGAAACGTTTGCTGGATTGGTTCAAGCAGTCGTCGATTCGGGACTTGATCCTCGTGTGTTGGAGGTGCTAGACGGTTGTGGCGTCCGGACTCTCGTTCAAGCCAAGGCGTTGCTGGTCGCTGGGACACGGGAGCCCGAGCTGAGTGCAAACCTCCAGGCCATCGTGTTCACAGCGTTTGGCCCACGGGCACTGGCAGCCAGACACATTGCCGATGCAGTTCCCGATGCTGTGGACATTGGCAGCAAGAAGCGGCGCGATCTTCCCACACCCCAGATATCGCCAGGTGGCTCCTTAGCGAAGGCATTGCGAGCGGCAGCGCCGTAGAATCGTCAATTCTCCTTGGAGGCCTTCCAGGCGGACATCTTCGCGAAGAGCAACAGCCATTGCCAAGGTTCCAGGTGGAAGACTTGGGCACAAATTGCGGCAGCATGGGGTGTGCAACCAGTACCCCTCACCACTGAAGTCGTCATGAAGGTGGGCAGCTCGTTCAAATTGGGAGGATACAAAAGCTCACGCCAGTACTTCTCTCGTGCGCGGCGCGAGCACGTTCTGCGGACGAGCTCTGCCGCGCCAGCAGACGTGGAGATGGCCATACGGGATGCCGTGCGTAGCATCGAGCGCGGACTCGGTGGACCAGCCCTGAAGGACTCCTTCAAGCTCGAGGTCATCCGCCTGACAATGCAGACACCCGATGAGCGGCAACAGTCGGCGATAGTGGTGCTAGGGAGCTGGTTCTTGCTGCGCGAGATCGAACTAGCTGCCCTTCGACAAAAACACCTGCAGATCGACAAAGAGGCCAGGACTGTGACCATGACCCTCTGGGCCTCGAAAACCGATCAAGTGGGCAACTTGGTGACAAGAACTCACAGGTGCTATTGCAGCTCAGTCGACCCGTGCCTGTGTCCGTTTCATGTGGCTCTCGCTTTCTCGGAACAGCTGCAGTCCGACCCAGAGGCGCCCTTGTTCACAGACAGAGTAGGCGGTGTGCTGAGCAAGAGCGAGACCGTCGCAAGTATTCATGCTGTCTTGGTGAGAAACGGGATCCCGCTGGTGCGCCCTGGCCCTGTGGGACATCGGCCAGTTGAACGATTTGGAGGTCATGTTCTGCGAGTGAGTGGCTCTCAATTCATGGCACGGCGCGGTGTGCCGTTGTCCACCATCATGCTCGTGGGGCGATGGGGCTCGCGTTCCATCGAGCGCTATGTGCAGGAGGCGGAGCTCGACAGCTTTGCTATGCCAAGTCAGGCGCAGTCGCCGCTGGCGGAAGTGCAGCATGGGATGGCAACTCTTCAAGAGCGTGTCCAGAGTTTAGCGGATGCGATTGAGAAGCTCCAGTTGCGTCCGGACTTAGTGATCGCGCAGAAAGCCCACCTGCGCGACCCGAGAGAGTTGGAGATTCTTCCTGTGCTGTGGAAGACAAAATGCGGCTGGCCCTATGGCAGGAGCACGTTCCGGCGTTGCAGCGAACCGGGGACGGCCCCTCGGTGCAAGAAATGCTTCCCGACGGCAGGGACATCAGCAGACAGTGGCTCCGACACGGCCGAAGAAAGCAGCGAGAGCAGCAGCAGTAGCAGCTGTTGAGCCCGCCCGTGGCCTTGCCCGCTCGCGGCTGATGATGGTGATGCGGGGAAGTCGCAGTACTGTACGACGTCTGCGCACAGAAGACGAAG